CTGTAAAGTTTCAAGGGCTTGACTGTAGTATTAGGCCTGCATCACAAGAGCCTGGAAGAGTCACAGAGGGTTTCTAAGTCTGAGGGAGAGGACCACACGGGGAGGGTGCCCACAACCCTTCTCCCACCCACCAGTGCAGCACACCCCCTTTCCCTCCCCTAACATCCCATTTCCCAGCTCCACCCTCTTTTCATGTCATATGTTGACCTCACTTGCATTTTCTGTTTGTTTCCAGTGTAGCCCAGACATTGCCTGAGTCACCCTTTACTGTCTGAAGACCTGACTTGAGCCCCGCCAATTCCACTGTCTTGAAAGTCTGAAATTCTCCCTAGAATTGGTGCTTGCACCCAAATGTTTACACTCTCAGGCTCACATATGTCTTCAAAACTATGGTAACTACAGTATGTTTTTGCCTTATATTAATCTGGATATAAAACTTAAAAGTTTCTTAACACTTAACTCTGTTATGCAAATGTCAAATAGTATTTTTTGTTTGTTTCAGACACCTTTTACTCTTTTTAATTAAACGATTGAAGACATACTTAAAACTAATCATTCATAATTCAATATTCACAAGACTAAAATAAGTATAAAATAAATGTATATCATTAAACTGTGAACTGACCTAGGGAATAAGTTATAGCACTTATTTTTCTGAAGTTGGTTCAACAACCTGTACAAAGAGCATCTCTCAGAGAAAGAGATTTTTTTAAAAAGATAGATAGGTCTTGTTTAGTGTCATGTAATCACATCCTTGCTCCTAGATGTGATTTATTTTATTACAATGCAAGGTGATGTGGAAGTGCACTCTAGAATGTTTACACAATGAAATTATATATATAACATATCTCTGTCATTAGGCAAAAGATAAGTGTATATAACACACTAATGACAGCGCTCACACTTCCAGTGTGTTGGAGGTGCCCACTGCAGTGGATTCTCCACAGCCTTCTGCAGAGCTGACATCTCAGCTGGGGCCTGAAGGCTGCACCAACCTTAGCCCACCCAAGTGAAAGGAGGGGATATGTTTCAAGCAGAAGGAACAGCCCATGTGGAGGCTTCCAGAGAAGAGAGAATTTAGCCAGAAGAAACTGACCCAGGCAGAGGGGCCACAGACCCATGAAGGTAGGCTGAGTCACAGCTGCTGTGAGCTGGTGAAGAATCCTTGTCCAAGCTGTGGTTGCCTGAATAATAAACAGATTAGCACTGCAATTCGTAGCACACATTCGCACACCAAAACGACTTCAGAGATGCTTCAGAGAAGCTTTTTGACTTTGTGCCTTTTCTTACTCCTTGTACTAGGTGTATAATGACTAAAAGTAAATGAAGACCATGTCATTTTTATGTAGAAAATTTTCCAGTTGAAGCAAGGCCTTTCTACTCACAATGTCACGTTCCATGTTGACTTAGACTTAACCTCTACTCTCCCACCTCCCGACCCCTCTTCCTTCCTCTCAGGCTGCACTGGGCTCCATACCCACTAGATAATCAACCTCATACCAGCCTCATAATAAACACATTTCTAGTAGCTGCTAAATGACAGTTGATTATAATGCCATATACATAATGTTGATACTAAGTAACAATAAATGGACACTTTCTCTTAAATGTGCTCATATTTACAGTCTTTGACAATTCCTAAAGACATCATGTCTGTCCTGGAAGTAACAATTATTTGTATGATGGAATTTTCTAGCAGAAAGGAATTCATTCATCTTATAAGGCAGAAGAGTGATTATAAATGACAAAGGAATACTTTCTAGCACCGTGGCTTTCATACTGTGTTTTCAGAGCCCCAGAGTTGCAAGGGGTATCAGAGACTATGACTGAGCGAGATTTGGAGAGACTGAGAAAAACTCAGGACTTGGAACCCTTCACACATTTCAACCAGAGCAATTTCATTACATGTTATATGAGGCAATGTACTTTAGGGAAAAGATTCTATGGTCATTAACAAAAAATACTAAAATTATATTTATTTAAGAATGTATATATTTATTTAAAATATATTTAAATCTACTATACAAAATTCTTATTTTTGAGAAGATCCCTCATGGCTCCTGTGAAATAGTCAATTCAGGGTACAAGAGAAATGAAGATTTTCTACTGATAATTCAGCCTCCAGAGAACAAGCTAGCATGATTGAACTTCAAGAATAAGGAAGAAACACACCATCCATCAGATGACTAGAAATCACAGCAGGACCACAAGAAATATGGGAAAGCAAGACAATACCTCTCCACCAAGGGAAAAGAATAACTCCTCTTCATCCACAAGCAGTTCAAAGAAAATCATGGAAAGGTCTGATAACGAATTTAGAACATTCAAAATGGCGAAGCTAACAGAGATGGAAGAGAAAAGAGACAATGAACTGCTGAAGAGAAAGGAGAAAGAAGTTGAAGAGTTCCAGAGGTGAGCAAATTCTTGCAAGATCTAAGAGAGGAATTACACACTTTAAAAATGAATCAAACGGACCTGTTAGAGATGAAGTCTATAATACAGGAAGTCAAAATCTCCTTTGAAAGTATTAAAAGCAGACTAGATCATACAGAAAATAGAATCTCAGACATAGAAGAGAAAATTGCTGGCCTAGAAAAAAACCACCACAAAGACTGAGAAAATTGCCCCAAAATTTGAAAATAATATACAAGAAGTACTAGATACTTATCTGTAAGCAGAGGCACAGATAAGTAACTTGCCCAAGGTCTCACAGCTCCTAGGCAGGAGAGCCAGAATTCCTGCTCAAGCCCGCTGGTTCCAGAGGTCTTGCTCTTAAAGCTTGGATGTATTACCTCTCACTTTAGCAGTTTGGTTCACTCTGCATTGACAACTAATGGATAGGTCAAGCTGTGTTCTTAGATCCCAACATGGCAGGATGTTAATTTGAGCATAAGTAAATTGTGCTAAATTGGTCTGCAAATGGGAAAGAAAATATCTCAAACTAAAATGAAATAGAAAAAAACATGGTTTGCAATTACTTAAGACCTTAGCACAGACTAGACAGGGTCGGTATATACAGGTAAACAGGTACCTGCTTAATAAGCCTTAATCTCATTCCTTGCCGACTGCCAAGATTTGCTTTCAGATGTCAGTGGCTCTTCATGCCAGTACCTGTTTCTTGCAATCCACTGAAAACCTCCCAGAAAGAAGTTTCCCTCCCAGCCCCACTGAGGCCTTAGTCTGAACCAGCCGCCTACAGGCAGAGAGGATACTGGCTTCTCCAGATCCAAGGACAATGCTGAACTCTCACCCCAGAGACTCTTGGGGACAGCATAAGTCCAGGCAGAGGAAAGGAGGGGGATGGTTAGGACTAAAACTGGGAATATTCAGATTGTGTGTGTTGGAGGGTGTAACAACTGAATGTAAGAGACTAGAAATTAGCCACATAAAATTAAGAGCCCGGAAAGTAGGATAGTGTATCAGTTATAAGCTGGAAACAGACATTGCTTTTTACCTAATGTCAAACCCCAGGCACAGTGATAAATTGTTAGAACATAAAATAGATTGTTTTTCCAGGAAAATAAAAGCAGAAAACAAAACAGAAACAAAAACAAAAACCCTGCTTATTATACACAAGCCTCCCTCCACCAGACCCCAAATCTAGCAGAATCCACTGTTCTGTTTCTGGTGTTACACAAATTCCTTTTTGTTGGTCGTGTCTAAAAACAAAATACAACAGACTGTAGTTACATCTCTGGAAGCCTACGTGGAAGGAGCTGAGGGATGAAACCGTCCTTGTTTCCCTGACTTCTAATTGGGCCCAGGTGGTGGCACAGAGGTAGCGCTGCTGGGCCTATTTGGAAAGATCCCAGGATCTGTTTGGGAAGGTCCCAGGTTAGCAGCAACATGCCAAGTGGGCCAGTGCCCCTGACGGGGGCTGGATGAGACTGGGAGTGGCTAAAACCTGGGGACTAGGTCAGAGGGTGCTTCTCTCTCTATCTTTCCCTTACTCTGGGAAGAAACATAGTAACTTAAAATAAATAAATAAAAGGCAAAGGGGGGTGGGGGAAGATGGAGGGGTTGGAGGAGAAGGGGAAGAGAAACAGCTGCAGCTTCAGATTCCTTGAGCCAAAGCCCAGGTGAAAGAGCAGGTGCCTCTCCATGCGGAACTCCTTCCCGGCCTGGCCACCTGCTTAGTCATATGCTCCCTCTCTCTCTGCCCTCACACCCAGCATATGGCAGACCCTCAACACACTCTCGGTGACTAGCTAAGGAGCACGACTACAAGCAAATTTTCACTTTTAATGTTTCACCGGGAAGAAAATTCCGCCTTCCCTCTGGCTCCAGCAGGCCTTGTGGGAAACGCATGTATTCTGGAGCTGGGCCAACAATCTTGGGTTTAAATTCCAAACCCGTCACCAGCTGCCAGTGTGTCCTTAGGCAAGTGACTTCACTTTCATTTTCTAACTCAGGAGAAAAGGGGGTGGGGTAGCGGAGAGGGACTCCCACTTTTTCCTATCTCATGGTGCAGGAATAAACGGGGGGTAAAGTAGCGTAGGTGCCCGGCCCAGAAAAGGTAACTATAAATGCTGCTTCCTCCCCTCCCATTTACACAACGAATGCAGGAACTCTGAAGCTCAGTTCAGGCTCTTGGTTCTTCACTCACTCATTCATCAAACGTTTCTGGGAGCCACAGTGTACCAGACACAGGACTTCATGATGTGTACGTGGCTATTGCTGTCCCCTCGGGAGACAGCCAAGAGAGAGAGCAGAAATGAAGCAGCTCACCAGTAAATGAGGGGATGGAGTTGGTTAAATGCATTCCAATAGTGGAAGGGGTGAAAAGCTCCCATTACCAAATAATAAAACACATAAATAAGTGACTGAGTAAAAAATCAGAGTATTCTGTGTGAGCTTAGGAGGTAGACCCTTGGTGGGTTTGTTCTGAACTCTGACCACTTGGCGAGTTTCTGAAATTTTCTGTGCGGGTCTCCTTGTTCTACAAAATGAAGCTAATAGTTCTCACATGTTAGCATAAAAAGTAAAAGCAACACCTCTCCCTAGTGTTCCCCGCTTCTCTGGGGCACTCACTCCGTATCACCCAGCTTTCTGAGATTTCTATTAGGCCATCAGGAAGTCATGATGTACTTTTCTGTTTTTCTATGAAAAAATGTGTCATGATGTTTCAGATAACCAAGGCTTCCATCAGCTCTCTACCAGTCTAGATAACCAAACTGTCCCCATGGAAGCACTCTGAATCAGCGGGTTCCTGGCCAGACATAAAGGCTGGCAGACCCTCAGGTGGGACCTGAAACAGCTGACTGAGCTACAAGAAGCACCTGTGGGGGCACGCCCAGAACCAGGGGGTGACAACCTGAGTGCCCAGAACCTCCGGTTGTGTCCCCTAGTAAGGGAAGTTGACCAGGACAGTTCTTAGGGCTCTGGA